AAACAGCCCACACAGGTTTAGAAGCCATTTGCTGTAAAAAAAATCATCATACACAACTTCCCTCTTTTTTTGTTTTGTTTTTTGTTCTTTTCTGAAAAAAGCAAAACAAAATAAAACAAAAACACAATATATGTAGAAAACTGTCTCGGTTACCTTTATAACCCTCATTCCCTGTAGTGTATGTATGTAGTGTACTTTACAACTGATTGAGATCATGCTTGGGGAGCCTGTCATCTTTGAGTACTGTTAAAACGAGCCAATGCACATTAGCGTGCAAGATTTGCATCTCAGACTCTGCCCCACGGCACGGGTATGAATACAGAAGTGGATGCACGCACCAGCTGTTTGTCGTTGAGGAGCCGAGCGGAGCCCGGAGTCAGCCCAGGTGTTCCAGTAATAGTGGCGAAGGGACTATGTCTCCATTCCCTCCTTCGGGGAATGAGGATTACATAGATAACCAAGACGTTCCCTTTCAGTCACTGACGTTCGGCGTAGTTGATTGGGATCCCCATGAAAATGCCACTAGTGCTGCCACCTTTTAGTGCTTAGACAAAGCCTTCTAATCCCCCTGCAATATTGAGGCGGAGATGGGATAGGGCTTAGGCCAGGGAAGTCACTGTTGTTCCGCACTGCTGGAACAGTGGGAAAGTGTACCCTATCAATGTAAGGAAGGGATGCTGCGGAAGCCACATCCTGCCCGTAGGGAGGTAACATGTATACACAGAATATACACATATGAACTTGGTGGATGACCTGGCAGAACAACATATGGAATGTCACTAGTGTGGTTCCAGCCTATGATGGGGAGACTCAACCGGACAGTTAGGGTGCGGATCCACTTGTCCGTGCGGCACTTCTGTCGCGCCGCGCTCCGTTTTATTCCTATTGGTGTAGTCACGCGACTTTAACGTGCCCGCAAAGCATCCCGGGAAGGCGGCGCTTCATTTGAAAAAATGCTGCTCGTCAAAAAGCTGGCCGATGCCCATCTTTATGCAAATGAATTCCGTTGAACGCGCCGCGACTATCCAATAGAAGTAGAGCATATGGAGACGGGGGGAAGTCTCTCGCAGGTCCTCGGTTCTAGACTGGCCACTGGCTCAAAACCACGCACATAGCGGTAAACTTGAGGAACGCCCATCAAAGTACAAATGTGGTGAGGCGTCGCGACAACACGCGACTGTCGTGTCGGACAAGTGGATCTCTACCGTTACGGCAGAGAGCTCTGCCAAGATAAAAACACAGGCTCGCAACTGGGAGCCGTACCATGGAAGAAAACACATATGGGATCGTTGTGGTGCATACAAGTGGTGGGCCTAGCATTAGACGCACTGCCACATCCAATGCCAAAGGGGTGTGGATGAACTCAACAGGGTTTTGGCAAAAGGGAAACTGAACTAGAGCAAGAATGGCACACATATCCAGTCCATAGGAGGGGAATGGAATGAAAGAGAGCACACGGGAAGTAACCAGGTTGACGTAAGCTATAGAATATAGTGAACATGTTAGGTGTCACCCAGCCCAATTCTACAAACATCTGTCAGCGAGACACCCTGCGCCAAGGGGACAAGGTGCATCTTGGGACATCCACTATTCAGTGGGCCAACCTCTGCTTGGAGACAGCCTTTCCCTTCTGCTGGCATCTGTAACAGACGAACGAGCTGGTCTGAGGTCCTGAGGCTTTGCGCTCTGTCCACGTACAAGCACAATAAGTGGATGGGACAGAGAAAGAGCAGGATTCAATCTCCTCACTCCCCTCAGGAACCTGACGATCAGGTTGTGCTTTACTACGGATCTCTCATCCACTGCATTGTGATATGCGGCAATAGAGGCAACATACACTTTGAGGATAGAGGGAGACCGCCATCGGTCCAACCCATCTTGCAGGAAGGAACGCATGGGGCCGATCGAAACACCTTCGAGGGCATGTTCCACTTAAGGGCGTAAACATGCCTTGTACAGGGTGCTCTCAAAGAAGTGATCATGTCTACGACTTTACTTTGTAATGCTCTACTAGGTAGTTGCCCAACACGCTTAATAAACAAACTACAGCTGGTTCAAAAGCAGCAACTCGAGTTCTTACCAGAACCAGGAAGTATGACCATATTAGCCCGGTTCTGTCAACCCTGCATTGGCTGCCTATGAAACATTGTATTTTAAAATATTGTTGATTACTCACAAATCACTAAATGGTTTAGCTCCACTGAACTTGAGCAACCTCTTAACGCATTATAGTCCTTCACGTCTATTGCGATCCTTTTCCTATATAGCACCAAAACTGTGGAATAGTCTTCCTACCATTGTCCAGGAAGCAGACACATTAAAGCACAAAGCTCGATTAAAGACACATCTCTTTGCCCTATCATACACATAATACATTATAGACTGCTAATTCAATGTTATGCTGCGCAGATTAGGTCAGCCGGAACTGGAAACACTTCCTTTAAATCCTGATTTACTTGTTACATCATAAGAAGAATGGGATCTACACTAATTTGAGTGTCTTTGTTTATCCCAAGGTTTTCCCTCAGCCTGCCGGATCCAAGCCGTATCAAGGGGCCACATTTATAAAACTTTGCATAGGATTTGCGTCAGAAGTGGCGAAGTGAAACATAGGACGTGCGTACGCACAGAAATATTCGAATTTATAAAACCACGCACATCCTACGCATTTTTCCCTCAACATGACATCATGACTTTTGCGTAAACATACACGCCACTTTCGAGTCAGGTGGCGTGTTATCTCTACGCATTTTGAGCTATCCGCGTGTATCCACGTGTATGTCTACGCCATTAACGTCCAGGTCATTCCGCGTGTCTGTACACGCAGTCAAATCTCCAGTTATAAATGCCATTAACGCTAGTGACGGTTAAGTTTAGGGATGGGGTTGAGGTAAGTCATATCTTTTTTTTTACCTAGGATGGTAAGGGAACAGTCATAAATGCCATTAACCCCAGTGACGGTTAGGTTTAGGGACGGGGTTGAGGTAAGTCATATATTTACATAACGTTAAGTCAACGGCGTTCATAAACACGCTGAAAGGCGATTATGCGTCTTGATAGCACACCAAAAATGGAAATACGAATTGGCGTGGCATACACACGCTACTTCATGAGATCAGTCTGTTCCCTTAATAAATCACAATCAATTCTAAATGTAGCGCAGATTTTGCGGCTTCATGTCACGCCCATAGTTGCCCATAAATAGTCCGTGAAATGCCCACAAGTTAATATTCATCGATTGTGAAATTATGTTAAACACAGAGAGGAAATAAAAAAAAAAACGTAACTTCACTCAATGTGAAGTAGAAGTTATCGTCGGCGAGGTGGAAAAGAGGAGAAAAATATTGTTTGGAGGGCACAGTGTGCATTACTAATGCCAAAAAGGCACTTGAGTGGCAAAAGGTTGCAGACGCCGTAAATGCTGTAGCCTCACAACCTCGGACTGTGGCCGAAATAAAAAAGAAATGGTCGGACATCAAAGTAAAAAAAAAGGCAAAAAAGCGTCTAGTCATTAATTCAATTAGAGAGGTGGCCAAGGAGTTGGGCAAAATCAAGACTGTTCTAACTGAAATAAACTGCACAATGAGGGAATTCTTGAATAAATAATATATTTTTCCCCACCTTTTGTTGTGATGATGATGCGTTCACTCCGAATCCTACCATTTAATCGCCACATCTTCTAAGAGCGCAATATCAGCCATTGTGCGTCATTGTGATGGGGCATTTTATTTCCATCCATTTAATTCTGCATCTGAGAAGCTACGGATCTCGGTTATAATCTTGGGAAATAGTATAGCGCAAATGTAATTTCTTGCAGCTTTCTGAATGGTTGAGACATATGTCATACATTATTTTATCAAAAATAAAACAAACTAAAGGCATATGTATGAATACCATGATTCCGTAGCTGATGAAGACATTTTTACTATTAAAACAACTTTCCCCAGTGGACAAATAATACATCTATCTATTTATCGATCTATCTCCCTAATTATCTATCTATCTAATTGCTATATCTGCTCCGTTAGACGGACATATTGGCGAGAATATCAGTTTTGTACATTATTTCGGTCTGTTAACCATCTTATTTATGAGGATGAGTCAACCCGGTCTCATCCCAAGACGTCATATAACTGACGTTTTGGGACGTCTTTTGACCACACGTCAATATTCGCCTTTTTAGGGCCCCCTTAAACGTCGGTAGATGAGGTTATGGGATCCTAACTCTACCCCATACCTAAACCTAACCCTAAACCTAACCCGTCACCTACCTGACGTTAAAGGTAAAGCGTCAGTTGTATGACGGCCCGGGATCGCCATCTAGCGACGTTTAAGGGGGCCCTAAAAAGGCGGATATTGACGTATGGTCAAAATACGTCCCAAAACGTCAGTTATATGACTTTTTGGGATGAGACTGTGTTAGATGAATTGTATAACATGTCAATATTATTGCAGAACATATTTCACTTTCTTTTTGGAAATGTGTTAATTTGCATTTCTGTTGCAGATCGATCAAACGGGTGTTCGTGTAGGCTGTTAACTGTAAGACTTGCTTTGTGAAATCTTCGTGTTATTTAGGCTATGAGAGGCAGTATTGCCATTTCTTTTACACAACTGTCTACAGTTTCACATACTTCACGTGTTTTTTTCCAACTGCCGACGGTGTCGCCATTTCTCGTTTCACCCGTTTTTGTGCGTACGCCTGGGTCAGAGCTTGCGTGAAGGACCGCCCATTTTACCGTCAAGTTTGCTTTTTATAAATACCAACTATTGCGTAGAAAGCAATGTACGCCTTCTTTTGTGCGTACGCAACGTTTATAAATGAGGCCCCAGATCTGACGAGGAGCTTAGCCTGGACCCTATGACAACACAGTGCTAAAGTGCCAACTAGCCTCTCCCTATGGAGGATCGAAGGGTCTGACCACGTGCTGAGGGTTTGACAGCAGGCTGGGGTGATCGCACGAAGCGTGCCGCACTGATCGCAGCAACACTGACAGGGATGGTGCAGCCTTTCCCCCTCAATCGGCCGTCAGACAAACAAACAAAAACAGAAATGTGATGCTGTTAAAAAAGCAGTTGAGAGCTCAGAAAGCTCACAACCACCACTGTACTCACGTTGTAGAACCACCAGGAGATACTTCCTGAAAAAAGCACTGAGACACACTTGCTCATTTTAATATAAACAACACTCTTCAGAGACATCGATATGAAGACAGATCGGTTACAAAAAAGTGAAATACAACTGGTGCGTGCATCCTCTTTCGCATTTATACCTGTGCCGTGGGGCAGAGTGTGAGATGCAAATTTGCATTGGTTCGTTTTAACAGTATTCGAAAATGACAGGGCGTGATCCCAATAAGACTACTGTACGTCGAACACGAGTGACTGAAAGTGAACCCTTTTGCTTTAATACCATTAAAACAATTGATAAGTTGTTCATTGTTAGAAATATTGTTTTTTTTTTCTTTTTTTTTTCCTTCAGGACTATTACAAAAAAAAATTGTCTTTTCAAAGAGACATTTAAGAGCTGTTGTTTACTGTACTGAGAATAGTCGTTTATATCATTAGAATATATTATTGATTTGTGTTGTACAGTATATTATTGATCTGTGTTGTATTATTTTCATGTTATCACTGTGAAGCTGCTTTGATACAATCTATATTTTAAAAAAGCGCTATATAAATAAAGGTGACTTGACTTTTGTTTTTCTCTGCAGATATTTTGGACAGGTCTACAAAAATAGTAATATCAACATCTGCAGAATTAGGAACTGCTAGCTACATATTACTACTAGAATATAACACTTTGATGTTTGGATAACAGACACACATTGAACACAAAAACAAACTCCACAAATTCAGCTTCTCTCAGGATTCTTTCCTTTTCTCGTTTTTCATAGTTTTTATACGCCATATATGCCTGTGTAAAATCCTCCAAATCTCACACTGCATTTCCCTCATTTTGTGTGAAAAGTTTATTCAAGTGTTGCCATTTTTGAAACAGAATAACTCTCAACCATTATAATGGGCCACAAGGGAGACCACTGCAGGTCTGGCAATATTCGTTGATAGAGGGCCGTCCTCCACTGGGTTTGTATTATTGAGGACAGCTGTGGGCTCCACTGAAGCCACCACAAATGTAAAGTTGTCTGTGCGCCGTCCAGGCCGAAAATTTTTAGTTGCCTTTGAAGAACTTTTCATACTGGAACCTCGATGGAGTTGGTCACAGTTGAGAAGTGCCCTGAAACACCTGTAGAACTAACACAGATACACCCAGACAAACAAGTAAAGAGCATTAGTGGACAACAATGCTCAAATTCATTCATGCACTTATCAGTTTGCAGGAAACATACTGTACACCTGGGTACTTTATGCTTTCATTTACACATTCCCATGCACGTCAAATGTGCTTCTTAAAGGAGAACTCCGGCGAACAATGAACCTTTGGTCTAATAAAACATCGGTACATAGTCAACCGTTCTCTGAGATTTGTTTTCATGATAATCGAATGTAAAGAGTTTTATCTCTAAAAACTGTTTAGCGTATAATGCTAGTAATGGGGGCATTGAGTAAGTAAAAAGAAATCGCTAGTTTATACCACTAACAAGGCTCAAAATAGCCCCACACTCACACAGTAACATAATGAGGGTCCATACATGCAAAACAAAGCATTGAGAACTTTGTAAGTGAACAGACCGTTTAATAAGAAGATACTTTATGAAGACAGTTCACTTCGTGTATACAAACAGGAGCCATCTTAAAAAATAGTCTCGATAAGTCAAACCACGAACGTCGTGCTGAGTGATCTGAACTCTATGAAGTTCAACGAACTTCTGAACTGTATGAACGGCGTTCGGGGATCGACTTATCGAGACTATTTTTAAAGATGGCTCCTGCCTGTATACGCGAAGTGAACTGTCTTCATAAAGTATCTTCTTATTAAACGGTCTGTACACGATTTCTTTTTACTTACTCAATGCCCCCAGTACTAGCATTATACGCTAAACAGTATTTAGAGATAAAACTCTTTACATTCGATTATCATGAAAACAAAACTCAGAGAAAGATTGACTAGGTACCGATGTTTTATTAGACCAAAGGTTCATTGTTCGCCGGAGTTCTCCTTTAAGTCATAATTACTATGTTGTTGGAAAGAACATTCACAAAAAGTCAAAATATGCAAGAAAAAGTGGTCTAAGGATCCTGACATAAATGTTAATAATACATTTTCACACTTGCTAACGATTCTGGAATTCTAACGATTTCAGTGTGTATAAATAAAACATTAGGGGTGTCACAATATACAGCAATACAAAAATGCACCAATATCGTGGATAGTGACAAAATGCTGTATATTAGTTAACCTAAAATAAAAATGTGTGTGAAAAAAAATCTATAAGTAAATCTATAATCTATAAATCTGTAATCTTTTCAATAAGTTTGAAAACGAGTTTTAGTGTCAGTCCTACTAATGATGAATATTATGTATAATAAATGCAATTGAGGAATATTTGTGGGTCCTGATACTATAGGGTGCCATTTGTGAAGCGGCTCACGCTGAAAATAACAGCAAAATTTTGCCATATTTAGCTTCAAATGTTTAAAAACTGGTATGAATTTTTGACTGTGATTTTTTTAGCACAATTACATCAATATTTGTGAACTTAGAGATATTTTATATAGTTAAATACAATTTATTTTATGTATTTTATTTTGTTTTGTGATGCAATGTATTTATGAGAGTTGTAAATGCTTGCTTTTGTTGTGAAGCACTTTGTGATCTTCATCTGAGAAAAGTGCTATACAAATAAATTTTACTTACTTACTTACTTACTTACTTACTTAAATCTAAATATTAAATTTTACACCTAAATGTTAAATATTAAATCTAAATCTAAATGTTAAATCTAATTGTAAATGTTAAATCTAAATGTAAAATCTAAATGTTAAATCTAAATCTGAATGTTAAATATAAATTTTAAATATAAATGTTAAAGGTGCAAAATGCAAGTATCTGAGTTTTTGCAGAACTACGCCCCCTCTGGCGACAAGCGAAACTGCAACCAGAGATGTGCGCGCTCATGGAACACACACACACACATACTGTACACACACGTTTGCACGAGCTGTTCATAACCAAAGGAGCATTAGCCGCACACTGTGCGGCACACATCTTTTGTTACAGACATAATGAGGTAATACAGTTATAAATCTGCAAGTCATTTAATATATGAAAGGAAAGGAATTCGAGTAAATTAGGGGGGAAAACGGGGGTAGTAGAAAACTTCGGTTTTTGTTTCCATCTATCTCCATGTTGAACTGTTTTATGTGCTTACTGTATCCACTTATGATTGTATGATTATGGAAACACGCTCTTGAACAATACAAGTTATTACTTTGTATAGGACCCGTTTGAGCCCTAAAGCAGACAGGAGATCTCTCCATTTGTTGAAAGCTTCCCGATGTTGACTCTCGTATTATTCCGACGCCTGGCACTAGACAGACAGAAGTTTTATTTTCTTTGTCTCACGTGGAGTTTGAGTTGCGGTTTGGAATGAACTACAAGCCGGTCTCTTTGGGGTTGTTTACACCTGGCCACTTCATGCGTTTTCTCAGATCGGATAGCTATCTGATAAAACAAAACACTTTCATTACACCTGGTCACATAAATGTGTTTTTGCAAAACGGATATTAATCCGATCTTCAATTCCCGCGCTATATACAGATTTCACCGAAAGCAACAGATATGAGCTGCATTTTATTAATCATCGGCTAATTTCAAAATCAGCAAAGACAGCAATAAGAGAGAGCGGCAACAGCCCTGGTAAGATCATTTCAGATGGTAGTGTTAAGCGTCTGCGACTTACTTTCACTTTCATTTGTGATAGATTGCGGCGCGCTGGCTTTATGAATAGGCGCTCAGCTGCTCATCTGAGGTGATGCGCGTCGTCATTTATGACTAAAATAACATGATGACATATAGCCTGGTTTCGACAACCAGATGCATTTACTAGGGCTAGGTATTGTTAGGTATTTCACAATTCGATTCGATTTCAATTCTTGAGACTTCGATTCGATTCGATTCGATTTCGATTCAATATTGACTTATTAGCTTCGATATCGATTCAATAATAAGTAAATACACAAGTAATTAAGTGCCTGAGTATATTTTTAAGTAATGTGCGCAGTTTTACCAATGTTAAAGAACAAATTGACCCCAGCATGTTTGTTTCCTGTCATGGTTTATTCAGCAGAATAAAAATGTACAATATTGTATGTGTTGAATTCAAACACAACTGTGACAAGCACTGTACAGTGCTTTAACAACACCTCTAAAGTGCATGTAACTAAGTAGTAGAAAGTATATTTCTTTCTTCCCATACAGTCAAGTTATAAAAGAAATGAAAACAGAAGCACAAAATGTGCATACTCAAAAAAGTGCAATATTATATTCTAATTATAATTTTGTAAACAATAACACTTAATAGCTGATCACACTTAACAGCAATTGCGAGTTATCAGGCCAATTCTAAGCGGGAAAAAATACTAACCTTTTTCCCTCTCAGAAGTTTATATCTCATAGACTTTATATCATGCATTTCTGACTTTATATCACGCAATTCTGACTTTATATCATGCATTTCTGACTTTATATCATGCATTTCTGACTTTATAACACTCAATTGCGACTTTATATCACGCAATTGTGACTTTATATCTCGCAATTCTGACTTTATATCTTGCAATTCTGAGAAATAAAGTTAGAATTGCGAGAGGTAAACTCCCAATTGTGAGAAAAAAAGTCAGAATTGTGAGATAAAAAGTCGCGATTACCTTTTTTATTTTCCATTCTGTGGCGGAAACAAGCTTCCATAGTTCCCGGCTTACAGTGGAATCCAAAATGAGCCCAAACGTCGGCTTTTAATGTTGGCGGTGCAGTCTTGAATCAGGCTTGAACGGAGTGCAGCTGCTGTTTTGCTAAGGGCTAAAGCGCGACTTGTACAATGGTGAACGCTCTCACTAGAGTGTAGCCCACAGCGCCGCCACTGGCCTGGATGGCTGAATCGATTCATAGGATTTGATGAATCGATATTGAATTTAGAAGCAAAAAATTGCAATGCATTGATGAATCGATATTTTTACCCAGCCCTAGCATTTACACTTGTCCAGTTTCGTCCCAGACCACGTCCTCAAGTGGTTTGAGCGATCGGATTCAAATCCGTCTCGAATGCGTTTCGGAGGGCAACCTGGTCTTTTAGCGATCGAATAGCTATCCGATCACAGAAAACGCATGAAGTGACCAGGTGTAAACAGCCCCTTTGAATCCATCTTCTACTTTTGTGGAAAGTTGACTAAAGTTGTCTCGTTCGAGTTGTCTTCTCTGATATGGAGAATGGCGGCGAATACACCTGCAAGACATAGGCACATAGCCAGGCGAGCGTGAACGCGCATGACGTCACGCCCAGTCTCAGATTCGAGTCCGGATCCCTCTTATTTATTTTACTGTACAGGATTATAGAGGCGGTCACAGTGTTCAGAGAAGGGCTCATTCAGCCCATCAGGCGATTGTTTAAGCATGTATGGGTTAGAAAACGGCTATTTTTATCATGAAAGGTTGCGCAATGCACCTTTAAATCTAAATCTAAATGTTAAATCTAAATGTTAAATATAAATATAAATGTTGAATCTAAATGTTTTGGGTGAAACTAAATATTTAACTAATATGCAAATTAAAAATGCTGGTAAACAGAAGTAAAAAAATAAAAGCTCGAGGAGGTCAGTATGTGTTTGTAGTATCAAATAACAAATAAAAACTTCTCATCCTGGGACATGCACTCTTGGACATGGGTTATCACGATAATAACTACCTAAAATGTTAAACATTTAGATTCAACATTTACATTTAGATTTAACATTTAGATTAAGATTCAACATTTATATTTATATTTAACATGTATATTTAACATTTAGATTTATATTTAACATTTATATTTAATATTTACATTTAGATTTAGATTTAAAATGTTTAGTTTCACCCGAAACATTTAAACCTAAAATGTTTAGTTTCACCCGAAACATTTAGATTCAACATTTAGATTTAACATTTAGATTAAGATTCAACATTTATATTTAACATGTATATTTAACATTTAGATTTAACATTTATATTTAATATTTACATTTAGATTTAACATTTAGATTTAGATTCAATATTTATATTTAGATTTAACATCTAGATTTACATTTAACATTTAGGT